AGTAAGCCTATCCAAACTAGAAAGCTACACAGAACTAAAAAGGACTGGTGACTCCAGGCTCAGCAGATACAACTTGACAAATATAGCAAGATAATAAAGGATAAGATTATTGTAACCATCATTACACTGGAGACAGACAAAGACATAACTACTACTTTCCCAGCTCTAGAACTTAACAAGACAGTGTTTAGAAATGATTTGGTATGATCAAAGCTCCTCTGTGTCTGCAGTGTGTCTGGAGTATCTACAGTACTCATTAAGTTGTTACACTTGGATGAACCATCAGACATTGTTTTAATTCTTATTATAGAGTGGATCCCTAAATTGACAGGTAAACAAAATCCTTCTCATTCTTAGCCATGACTGCAAGAAGAAGAAGACTGAAACAACTGAAATGATTTGAAGGTCATTGCTCTTACAATTTTTTCATCTGAAATATTACGCACACAAGCTGCACACAAACTTTCCCATTTTTTGGAATGCTCATTACAACGTGGCAACCCAAGCCTAAATCAATGAGCTGTACAGCCACATTAAAGTTACCCCTTGAACCCAGATGGACACATTTCTTTCCAGATGGCAGCCTTCCCCACATCCAAGGTCTTTCTCCAAGCTGGGGTTGTTAAGCATATGGTAAATGCATGTTCACGTGCAAGTACAGTATGTCAGCTAATGTTCAAGTGTGTGTGGGCATGTGTTTGTTTGTATCTGGTTTATATTTCCATATCTGTGTTTGAGTCTGTGTGCATTGTTTTCCTGTATGTGTGAGTGTCTGTATGAATGTGTATGTGTTCTGGAGTGAGTGTGTGTGTGTATGTGTGTTCGGGTCTATGCCACCCTCACATGCTGTGGGCACAGGCTGCAAAACCAAAACCAAGCTGGAAACACTGGCTGGCTTTTGGATAGTCTTCATCAGCATCAGCGTGATGATTCTCCCAGCCTACAATTAATACCCTGCAATCAGACTGTAACTGCCTCTGTCCATGCCCCAAATCTCCAGACTGAACTCTGCTAGAGATTTACATTCTGTACTGTAGTCTGTGTGTAAACAGTGCAGCAGGACAGGGATTCAGCCTGCCATGTCCTATTAAATGTCCCAATTAGAGTCGCAGCAACCATTTTCTCTAAAGCCATGGTCTGATTTGTTTTTAATACAACAGAGTGAAACTGCCAGACAGTGCAACAACTTGCAAGCGACAGGCTGTGAGATAAAGAGTGTGTGGGTATACATGTGTGGGGTTATGGGTGCATCCAATGAAATAACCATGGACAGCTGCCAACAAGATAAATGCCTCTAGTATCCAGTGTGATGGTATGCATTATCCATGCATGTATACATACGTGTTGATTTGACTCTTACAAGGACAAGGTTACAGGTGTCTAAGATGGTATGCATTATCCGTACATCTGTGTATGTATATGTGGGTGGGGGTGGGGGTGAGGAGGGGGCTAGGGTTGTTTTTGATCATGTCTAAACCCATGGCCATCTACCAACATCATAGACAATACCCGCCACCATATCCTTTACACAAGAGGAGTTCTTTCACCATCACACCAGGACACATTCTTCCTGAGCGCATCACCGTGGCAACAACAGCAGCTCGGAGATGGCAGGAGACTGCCCGGTGGGGCCTTTAAGTTGCATGCCGCCCTGCAGAGTGCCTGTCAAAAGCCAGTTCCTGTAAGAGGAGGGGCGAACGGGCTGTAACCTCCTAAAGCCCTGCTGTCACTTTTCTGAGCAGAAAAGAATAGAGAAGACAGATGTCACTGGTTGCATCCGCGAACAAACACACACAAAGAGACATACAATAACATGCACCATGCAGGTATCTATATACAAATTATTATAAACCCACTGAGAAAATATAATCAATTTAGTTATGTTAAACCTCAGAAAATCAGCAAGGTTATCGATTTTCACATGGCTACCATAATATGCAGACTTCTGTATATATGTACACACATGGGCTCCATATACACACTCATAATATCATGTGCCAATATACAATACACACACCAATTGTACATGTTTGTAAAAAGTGAATGGGAATCGTGTCTGCAAGTAAAACTACTAGTTAACTTTCTTGTCATTTGAGCCCATGGTGTCAACGTGAAACAAAACACTGTTTTCCTTGATGAATTTGCACTCTAGTGACTCACACCAAATCATTAACCGACTTCTCCATTTCAGCAAGCTTCCAAGAAAAAAACATAAATTGATTCAGTTGTAAGAGATGCCAGACTTGTCATGATACTAAACATCTGGTGTTTGAGTTTTCTTTTTTCCCCTTACAAAGCATGTATACTAATGAAAAATTCCATTAACCTCCATTGAGTAGATTTAAGACCTCATGTGTTACATGTGTTGATAGTCATGGTCTGTTTATGTCAGTCCCTATGCTAGAAATCATGAGTTACAGAGAGTAAAAAAGATAGACGGGCAATGAGTGAAATGCCATGAATATGAGTGTGTCAATATTTTGTTGTGAAAGAAAGAGAAGGGAGAAGGAAACAGAGGAAATGCAATTAGATAAAAATGCCCTGAGAACGAATGAGTGTGTGTCTGAGAGTAAAATGAATCACAGAAAGAGGAAGAATGAGGTATTGAGAGTGTGAATATTATAAGTGCTGAAAACAAGGTCACGAAAACCCTCTTTCCACCACAGTGCACATTGTCTTGCACAGCAGTCATGCAGACAGTTAGCCTCTGCCCCTGACTCAGAATGTAAACACTGACCCAATCTGACAGACCACTGTGTATGTGTGTGTGTGTGTGTGTGTGTGTGTGTGTGTGTGTGTGTGTGTAAGCGATCGTACACACATACAATGGCTCCACACCAGAGTCCCTTTACAAGATTGCAGCCCACTTATTACAACCTTGCTGACTGGCAGACAGACAGTCCCTGTCTCTTTATCTCCAACTCTATAAACCTTCTGTTCACAGTGCCGGAGAGTCAGACAGTCTCAATTCAATAAGCTCTCAACCTTACGCACTTAAGTAAATACAACCTCAGGACAGTCAGAAACAGGAGACCAGAAAGAATGTTGATTTGTGGTCAGTAAAACTCTTTTGACCTGCTGAAGCTGTTCATTTATGCCACTATGACACAAATACCACTGAATTAAAGTGGCAGTAGAGAAAGTTGACACTTCAGCTGCTGTCTGTTAAAATAAAGCATATTAAATCAAATGTTCCAGTGCTGCATGATCTATAGATCTTGCTCTTGGGTTTAATGATTGCCCAGCGGGCTAATCTAAAAGAGGAAGCCGCTGAGATGGATTGTCTTGGCTGACTGATAACCATCTCTTATGGGTCAGTGCTCATAGGACAAAGCAGACATTCCTAGCACTGTAGAGCAATAAGGTGAGACATGTTACATGCGTCTTCTAGTTGCAAAGGGTTGAAATGAAGTGGATGTTCCTACCTCAGCTGGAAAAAAATCACATTAATTGCTAGTCAGAGCTGTATATTACCAACTTACCCAGTTGGCAAATAAAACTGGTATTTACATCAAAAACTAAGGATTCCCTGCAATTCTACATATTGTCAGTTGGTGGCAGTAAGGTAACAATACAGCAGTTAAGAGAAGAAGAAGTTTTAAGGGTGCATTCTTAGGAAAAGTATAAACAAAATTGTGTTTGTTTACAATGAAAGCTCCACCTGGTGCATTTACCAATCTACCAAAAGAATATGAATCATTATCTATTTTATTTATCCTGGAACAAGTCAGAAAAACCTACTTCACTTGGCAATTAAACAGTGTGGCCAATATTTTGTGATTCATTCATTTATCTGTTATCAAAAATACTTGATTTTGCATGTTATGTTGTTTTCTGTGGCTGTTTAACCACTGTCTCTGCCCATGGTAACTGTCCAGTTTGTCTACATTCAATATTTTCAAGGCTTCAAGGCAGAAGGCGGTCATGAATTGGAAAAAAGTTGAAACACAATCTTTAGACATCCATTTTTCTTTTATTAAACTATTAAGTCTATTCCTCTAAATGTATACAGCCATGCTATTTGTCTGCTCATAAGCTTGAGTTGTATGACCACAGATATAATGTACAATGCCTGGCCATGAATCTGCAAACAAAATGTTATTCCTAATCCTTGAAAAGATGACTTTGTGGAGCCACCTGAACTCCTGTGTCCTCCCTCTGGAGGTCTCCACCCTTGCCTGCCCCCTCACAACAATACAGGCACTGGGACTCTGCATGAAGAGGTGCCTTTGTTCACAGTGAAGAATGCTCATCACACTTATCCTGTGTCTCCTTTTTTCTCTCTCTCCACCTCTACAAGCCAGTTTGGAATGCAATGTCTTTAGTGTGCACTCTGACTGTTGGTCTCCAAACCATCTACCGACACTTTGTTTTCATTTAAAAAGAAGATGAGCACTGACAGCCATTGAGTGTATGTGTGTGTGTATGTGCTCACGTGTGCTCAGATACTTCAGTGAGGTACAGAGGAGTTTCTTGTGGGCAGCAGTAATGGACTTGGTGCAGACAGTTTGAGACTTGCTACTTGAGCAACACTCAGGCATACTTTAACTGGAGCCAACGCAGTCCAGAATGAAATAATTCTCGAATAAACACAGACAAAACCACATCCTAACATTTACCATCCATATTGCTTTAAACAAGCGTAGATGTACTTTCTGTACATGGACACACACCTTGAATGCTGACACATTCAAGGTCACGCACAAGCATGTACATTTAGAGTGCAGAGAGTACATGAGAAGGCTAAGTAGATGCATATGCATGACCATGGATCCACAAGCAATGTACATGATTTTCAGACTGAGAAGACCACTTTGGTTCAGCTGATTCATCGCTGTTAACAGTTAAAAGCTATATCAATCAACATGCTGCATAGAAAGAAAACCCTATCTTACTATAACTTTAGTGACTTTGTTTATGAGAACATTTTAAAAAGTAGAAGAAAGAAAAATATACAAACACAGTGTCACACGCGAGCACTCTTTAACTCTTCACATTACCTTTCTGAGCTGAGTGAGCCCTGATGAAGTGCTCTTGGAGTAATTTCTCATTTTGCGTAACCTGACTCCGCAGAAGATAGCATCCATTTGCATGGTTCCTTTCCTTCAGAGTAGTTTCCCTCTTTCTCTCTCTTCCACGGTTTGTACACCCCTACCCCTGCCTCCGACTTCTCTTGCTTTGCATAGCCCCTGCCTGTACCTCCCACATATACATACACAGAGAAAGACAGAGTGCAGCTCCAAGTGCACACAAACAGTTTGAAAAAGGAACAAAGTCAGGGAAATCCTTCCTCCCGTCCAGCCTCTGGGCTAAAAATGTTTACAGCTCTTTCTGCACCCTCAGCTCTCAAACATACTCTCACTCATTCAAACTCCTACCTCTCAATGACTCTGGCTCCTTTTCTTTCTCTCTCCCCTTCTCAAACTTTTCCCACCCCTCCTTCCCTCAAGCCACCCCCTTCCCTTCTCCCTTCCTCCCTCTTCATTTTCCATCATCACCCCACCTCCTCACATCCCCTCCCACCAACCTAAACCCCCCACCGCTGAACTAATCTGCAGCTGGCTGGGCGATTGGAGCCCTAGTTGCCGGGGGAACAGAGTGCCCTGCTTAAAAAAAAAAGAAAAAGAAGAAGGAATGGAGCAGGAAGGGGCAAAACTGAGCACAACTGAATGCATAAATAAAAGCCTCCTCTGAGAGCCAATTAAAGAAACCCAAGGGCCCCACTTCCTCTCTCAATGAGGGGACAACATGTTCATATATTTTATCTCAGCAAAACTTTGTTTACTGGTTCACATGTGCCAGTCAACAGCAGCAACAACAACAACAACAACAACAACAACAACTACTACTACTACTAGTGTAGAAGCACAAGTGGTGTGTTTTGAATACTGTGTGTGGTGAGACTATAAGACAGAAAATGGTTTGGCAGTATTTGGGGTTATTACCGCTGACCTCTCTTAAAAGGTCAGGCCCAGGGCTGCAGAGTAACTCAATGGTCCTGTGGAAAGAGCGGAGAAAAAAAATGAGAGAGCAGGAAACAAGACTGGACATGCATACTGAAGACCAGAGCACTTAATAATTAACCTGGTCAACCCCACAGGCCCTCTTTGGCAAGACCAAGATTACAAATGTATGTTTTACAGATAAACAGTTTTCAAAGCCTGCAATCATCAAACATTTTATTTTACTAAGTTTTGAATAGGAAATTTAAGAGGAGTAGTGGGAACTATGAAGTTGAATGTTGTACAAATGTACGGAGATACCTTTGGTCAACTAACTTCAATTAGGCTAGAGCAGCACAACACAATTGTGAAAATATTTCATTATGAGTAAAAGTACTATACATTCCAAATTTGACTTCAGTGAAAGTACAGAAGTATTATCAGCTAAAAGAAAATAAAAATACTTACTGCAGAATCAGTGGCAGAATCAGTGATGCAGAATTTCAGAGATACATTATTATTATTATTACATACTAGTATTGGATCAGTATTACTGATGGATAAATACAGCAGTTTTTATGTTGCTGTTTTATGTAACTACTTCATACACTGCTTTAAACTATAACAATGCATCATATCTTATAAGATGATTATGTGTTTTGTATATAAAATCTGGATCTACAGTAGAAGCAAGAAGTCAAATAGATGTAGAACAAGAAATAAAAACTTCCCTCTGAACAGCAGTGGAGTATAGCTTCCAACATAAATACTCAAGTAATGTACAAGATCCTTGTGTAAATGTATTGTACTTTAGTGACTTTCCGCCACTAAAAGCTACTGCACACACCAGCAGAAGAACATACACACATGCTTAACTGTACATGCACATATGATTGGGTATCAGGGTGGCTCTGTGATTTCCCTTTATATATACACTATACAGCTAGGAATCTCTATATAAACGCATGTATAGGGGCCTCAACTGCATTCCTACAGTCATTTCACTGAGTAGCCTTCATAAAGTGTCTAACAGCATCACCTCAGCAGAGTATTCTGCTGACCTCTGAGCCCAAACCCTGACCTCGTCTTTGAAATGCAAGAGAGATCTAAAAAAGCATGGCTTGTCCATCAATAGATGTGGGAGGGGGTGGGAAGTGGGGGCTAGTAACATCTGTTTGGCGTTTATCCACTACCTTATTGTGTTGCTGAGTCCTCTATCAGGCTTACAGATGGGATCCTGGGAGCGCACTGAGCCCACTGTCCAGGGGACTCACACCGTGACTGGGAACATGGCTGGGACAAGTTCTCAGTCCTCGATGGTGTATAGTAGGCTGTTTGCAAGACCTCTGATGAAAGGACAATGGAATCAACCTCAGGGTGGGTTTTGTTCCCTGCCTCTTCCTTTCCTTTATGACCCAGAAACAGAGTTTACCAGCCAAACCAATGCAGAAAAATGAAGCATCAGCTCTTATGTCATCTCTCAGGAGCTTTGTTCAGGAAAAAAGGAGTAGCCTGCCTTATCAGGAAATACCTTCAAATGCCACTTCTATTAATGCCAAGACCACATACTGTAAACTCTGCTCTACCCAATGACATTCCTCTTAACAACATAATATCAGCCAGCTAGAAAATGTTGTTGTTGTGTTAGTTTTTTCCAACTTAGGCCTATATAAAATGTTGCAGCAATTTTACAGCTTACATAAGTTTTGTCCTTGTGTGCCATATTTCTTTGTTGTATCCATTTTGTTAGAGCTGAAGTGATGAACAACAATTTTGATAGTCACTAGACTGTTTAAGACATTTTTCAAGAAAAACATTTGTCTGGTTTATCACTTCTTAAATTGGTGGACATGCTTCTTTTCTTTGTCGTATTTGAGAGTAAACTGACTGACTGCCACTGTAATGAACAAGGATTTTTATGACTGAAAAATATTTTCCACAGCAGACATTTTGACATGTCAAAGCATGAATTTTAACATTAATGAAGGCTGTATTCAATTGGTCAGGTCAATGGTCCTGCTTTAACACAGCTGGCTCACTTGAAATGCTTAAACACTTTATGGAACAGAACCATTGTTAATGTTAGTAGATCTGTACTTTTCCTGCTATGACAAGTCAAAACGTCTGCTGTGAAAAAGTTCTATAAGCCAACTTGTCTCAGTTAGTATGCTCACTTCTGCATCCATCTACCCTCCCTTCATTCCCTTGCTTCCTTCTGGGAGAGGGAGAAAGGACAAGAGGAGGAAAGAGGAACAGAACGAGCACCAAGAAAAATGTATGACATGCCTCCACCTGTAGGGCAGTTGACGTCTCTGCATTTAGTTGGAAAAAAAAGACAGTACTATGCATACTGTCTTTTTTTCTAACTTAGTCATACTATATTATAGTATTTATAGGCGTTTGACATGAGCTCAGTCAGTTGGTCTCATCTGCTAACATGAGAAAACCGGTTAACATTTTGTTTTTTGGAAAGAAACAAAACAAAACAAATAAAATGAGATTGAAAACAAACATACAAACATATCTTGTATAACGTTAATCCAATAACCAGCCGTTAAAAGTTTTTTCTGTTTCTGTTACGGGCTTCTTTAACACGAATCCACGTGACATTGTCGGCGATACGTCATACCCGGAAGTGAAGCGGCGGTCATTGTTTTCATGTATATTCTGCTTTCAATGGAGGTGGATGATGTTTTTGGGTGGTACAGTAACGCCAGCTGAAATTTATGTAATGTCTCAGTGGTAAAAGAAGCAGTCCTGTTTCCTCCTGTTTACAGGAAACCACAGTAACCACCGCTGACTGTAAGTTAAAGAAACGCCATGAATTTGTAGTAAAATAGGTACACATTCTTGTCGCTAGTGTATCATCCAGTTTGCCTGGCGACCACAGATTATTTCGATCTCAGTTGGAGTCAGCCTTTACTTTTGCAAAAGGATACAAGACCAATTTACCTCCTAGACTGACCTAACAGCCATGTGACATGACCACGATGGCCTTTGGAGCAAGAACAGTCCTGCTCAACCTGAGGTACACACTCCAGAAAGCAGGCTACTTTACTAGAACCAGACTCATCCAGAGCTCCAGGACATCGCTTGTTAAAAGAGGGCAGATTTTAACCCAAATACCCAAGGTGACATTGTTATGCTGGGGCGCAGTCAATGTATCATCCTGTGCACCCAGATGCCAGGAAGCAACTCTTTCATCCCAAACCGCTGACAGGAAGTCTCTAGCGAAAGTCAAGGTGCACAAAGTTTTATTTTTTCTCCGGCTAAGCCTTCGTGCATTGGTGCTGCTCCTCAAATTTGGGCCCCTTCTCCTCCTCTCCCCCTTGGCTCTGGTGTCCGCTCGCTGGGCATCTCGCTGGCTGGATGCTCTGCTGTGGGTGACTGAAACATCCGGTCCCACTTTCATCAAGCTGGGGCAGTGGGCCAGCACCAGGCGGGACATCTTCTCTCAGGAGTTTTGTGAACGCTTCTCCAGGCTCCACGTAAAGGTGCGCCCTCACTCCTGGGCCCACACCAAGCAGTGTCTCAGGAGGGCTTTTGGCGAGGGCTGGAGGATGGTTTTAGTGATTGAGAGCAAAGAGCCAGTGGGTTCTGGATGTGTGGCCCAGGTGTACAGAGGATGGGCGAAGGCGGACCAGGTGGCAGATCCAGCCTTCCAGTCACTGGTGGAAGAGATGGAGAAAGAAGACTTGTTGGAAGCCTGGGAGATCCCGGGTCTTGGAGGAGTGGCAAGCTCCCTGTGGCAGTACTGGAGGGGGAGGAAGGAGGAGGAAGGCTATAAGGAGAGAAGTCCTGGAGAGGGGCAGCAGGTGGGGAGCAGTGCAGAGAAGGAGCGTCTAATGCCTGTGGCTATCAAGGTGAGTGTTAAAATTACAAAATAGCCTCATTAGAGTTAATTTTACTACCAGGTAGATCCCATAGATTCTGAATTATGTATTCATCAATTGTTTGTTTTAAGCATAGACTGTATGCAAAAAGGTTTTAAGCCTGTCAGCAGATGTTTATAAATTGTTCCTGGTGTCTTACAGGTGATCCACCCAGGCATCAGGATGCAGGTAGAAATGGACCTACTGCTGATGAAAGCGGGCAGTTGGCTCCTGCACTGCCTGCCCGGACTCAAGTGGCTCAGTCTGTGTGAGATAGTAGAGGAGTTTGAGAAGCTAATGACCAAACAGGTAGGAATATCCAAACTCCACATTTTAAATATTGCAGAATTTTCTAAAGTTATTTGACTTTGTGTTAACCCTATTTGTTAAATGTCACATATGAGCCGATTGGTCTTTTTGTGATTAATAAAGACAGTGTTAAATTTATTAAACTTTAAATTGTTAAGCTTTATAGAAAAGAAGCTGGAAGAGTCTTATCATGTCAGTGATCCGACTGAATTTTTATTTTCAGATTGATCTCCGTTTTGAGGCCAGGAACATCGAGCGTTTCCGGGATAATTTTCGTGATGTGGATTATGTCAAGTTCCCGACTCCATTACGACCATTTGTCACCAGGACCATTTTAGTGGAAACTTTTGAAGTGAGTACAAAAGGATTTAAAATCTATGGAAAACACTGACTGATTTGCCCAATCCAAATCCCCACCATAAAGGAAAGGAAAAGAAGAATATCCTATTTACTTGCTGGCATTAAATGATACAGATATCACTGACAGGGCTTCAATTGCTAGGGAATTCAATAAATACTTTGTCAATGTTGGTCCGGGACTGGCAAGCGATATTGCAAAGACGGGTAGTCGAAAGTAAGAAGTTATTTGTCGAAGAAACAATATTTATCAGAGGGACCAATGAAAAATAACAGAATATTGTAAAAAAAAAATGGATGAGTAAAAAGTCCACCGACTGCCATGATATTGATATGTGCACTGTCAAAAACATTATCGAATCCATAGTGTAGTGGCCGTTTGTCAACAAACAAAATAAAGTTAAACTTAAATCAAACCTTCAAACGACAACTTCTAGCACCCTGGGCAGGTAATGTACGCAGGCAAGAAATAAAATCAATTTCAAACTGGATTCAGGGTTTGTGGCTGGTTTATTTGTTCCAACTGAGCAAGCAATACAGCATCTCTCACGCTGGTAAAAAACCATGTGCCCATCACCCAGGTGCTGCCGCTCACTTCCTACTTCCTACCTATATTTACCCTCACCTGTGCCCACTACTGCCCTCAGGTGTCTAAATCAAACATTGCAATTATTAAACTAACCAAAAATAAAGACTAAACATATATATAAAACAATTAACTAAACAAACAAACAAAAAAAACATTATCAAAATATGTATACATATATACGTATTTCTAATATAAACAAAATCATAATAATAATCAATTTAATTAACAAATTACCACTACTGAAAGCAAACTAATGTAGCTTCAACACTCCGGCCCCTAATTGTGCATTATCACAATTACTGAACTCTCAAAACGGAGCTACATTATGTATTCTAAACATATCAGGCACAGATGTCTTGCCGCACCTGCAAAGAAAAGAGAAAGAAAGAGAATAGAGGCAGACAAAGAGAAAGAGAGAGAGTTCGTGTGATCACACCACCGCCTCCAGCAGCAGGCACAGCTTCGTCACAGGCCTCTCTAAGATGCTGGTCTTCGTTTGGAGGCGGACAGAGCGCACAACCCCTTTCACATCTGATCTGACATCCAAAACTTTCCCCATCATCCAAGATCCTCTTGAAGCTGTAGCATCTGCCACAATAACAACATCTCCAGGTATAAGGTTTCTTCTTAGTGCAGTCCATTTTTGTCTCTGTTGCATCAATGGCAGGTATTCAAGAATCCATCTTTTCCAGAAGAGTTCTGCCATGTACTGTATCTGCTTCCATCTTTTTCTGACATACAGATCATTTCTGTCAAACAACTGCTGTCCTGGTGGCATAATTGGTTTACCTTTCAACAACAGAATGTGGTTCGGCGTCAAAGCTTCCAGGTCATTTGAATCATCTGAGGCTCTTGTAATAGGCCTATCATTCAATATTGCTTCAACTTCGCAAAAAACAGTTTGGAGTGCTTCATCGTCCAGGGTCTGTTGTTTAAGGACTGAGGCAAGAACACTCTTCACTGAGCGAATCAAGCGCTCCCAAACGCCACCTTGATGGGAAGCTGATGGGGTGTTAAATCTCCATTCTATGCCGTCCTGAAGAAAGGCTCTTTGAATTTTACCATGGTTCAGAGCAGTCAGACTCTCCTTGGGCTCACGGCTGGCTCCAACAAAGTTGGTTCCGTTGTCAGACCTGAAAGTTGAAACTGGGCCTCGTCTGCAGATGAACCTTCTCACAGAATTTATACAGGAGTCTGTATCCAAGGTGTATGCTACTTCCAAGTGTACAGCACGGCTGGTCATACAGGTGAAGACCACTCCGTATCTTTTGAGAAGACTTCTGCTTCTTTTAACTTCAATAGGCCCAAAATAATCAATGCCAACATGAGTGAAAGGGGCTTCATCAGGCAACACTCTTTCAGCAGGTAAGTCCGCCATTTTTTGTTCAAGGAGTCTTCCTCTGTGGCGTCTGCAAACAACACAATCTGATATAACCTTTCTTGCAGCAGAGTTTGCATTTATAATCCCGTACTTCCGCATTAATCTGGACAACATATAATTTCTTCCAGAATGACCTATCTGCTGATGAATATGGCGCAGAATTAGTGTTGATATATGCAGGTCTTTTGACAGAATAGCAGGTCGCTTGGATTCCACTGGGAGTAAGGCTTTGCTTAACCGACCGCCCACTCTGAGAATCTCACCATCCATCACTGGGTCCAATCTATACAGTGGACTGTCCTTGGATATGGATTTCACACCACTCTGCAGTGAGGTAATTTCATCCTTGAACCGCTGATGTTGTACATACCGGATGATTGACAGTTCTGCCCTGGTCACATCTTGAGGTTTCAGACTCTGTCCTTTGAGCGTAGCCTTAAAGCTCTGCATTTGACTTTCCACCTGTCTATGACAGCCTGTAATGTCCATACTGAGGTCAGCAGAGGCATAAAGCTCCTTTCTCCTATGTCCCAATAACACAAGAGTTTCCTTGATCTTAAGAAGCCAAGCTACAGCTACCTGCAATCTCTTCCAAGATGAAAAGTAATGAATCAGGTGGTCCATAGCATTGTCTGTGTCTTTAACAGCAGCATTCACTGTCAAGACCCTTTTGACCTCAGGGTCAGTGCCAGAAATCACCTGAAGGTCTTCATCTAATTTAGGCCACCCTTCCTTGGACTTGTAAAGGAAATCAGGTCCCATTATCCATCTCCTTCCATTCAGGAGATCTTCTGCCCTCATACCTCTTGACGCTTCATCTGCTGGGTTTTCCTTTGTCCCCACATATCTCCACTGATCAATATCAGTTGCCTCCCTGATGACTGCAATTCGGTTGGCCACAAAGGTATAGAATCGCCGGTTTTCATTTGATATATATTTAAGGACTGTTGTGCTGTCCGTCCAGAAAACTGACTTCTCCAGCCTAAGTTGCAACTCCTTCCGTAGCATGCGGTCTACTCTGACAGCAAGGACTGCAGCTGTTAGCTCTAGGCGAGGAATTGTTGTCTGCTTCAGTGGAGCAACTCTGGCCTTCCCCATCATAAATGCAACATGCACTTTATTGTCCCTTTCCAGTCTTAAGTAAGAGACAGCTCCATACCCAACCTCGCTGGCATCAGAGAAGTGATGAAGCTGTATAGTGAGAGGGTTGCCAGAGTCATTAGGCTTAATGCAACGATCAATCTTGAACCTTGCCACCTTGTGGAGATCTTCCAACCAGCCAGCCCATTGCTTAGTGAGAACATGGGGAATAACTTCGTCCCATCCTAGGTTTCTTTTACAGAGTTCCTGCAGTAACAACTTTGCCATCATGCTGAATGGAGCAAGGAAGCCCAATGGGTCATAAAGGGAGCTGACCACCGAAAGAATTCCTCTTCTCATCCGTGGTTGCTCTTGTACTGAGGCCTTAAATCCAAATTGATCAGTCTCAACGTACCACTGTAGTCCTAATGTACGTTCAACAGGAAGTTGATCTGTTTCCAAATCCAGCTCCATCATGTCTTTTGCTCTGTGGACTTCACTGACAGAGCGCAACACTGCACGACTATTGCTGACCCATTTTGACAGAGTGAATCCTCCCTTCTGACAGAGTGCAGTTAAATCCTGGATCATTTTCCTAGCTTCCTCTTCTGAGGCCATTGAACGGAGGCAATCATCAACATAAAAATTGTTTTTCACTGTACTCACAACTTCTGGAGGGAAGTGTTCTGCGTTGTCATCTGCAGTTCTCCTTAAGGCATAATTGGCACAGCTTGGCGATGATGCAGCTCCAAATAGATGTACCTTCATGCGGTATTCCTGCGGAGCCTGTGCAGTGTCACCACCTGGCCACCAGAGGAAGCGGAGAAAGTCAACGTGCTTATTTGAGACATGAACCTGGTGAAACATAGATTGGATATCAGCCACTATTGCAATAGGCTCCTGCCTAAATCGGACCAAAACTCCAATGAGGCTGTTGGTGAGATCGGGGCCTTGCACAACCTTTCTTTGGCCCATTGTTCTCAACAAAATGCTTGTCTTCTTACCTCGCAAATTTAACCTTTTCGCCATGGTTTCTGTACAGAATGTGCCGGAACTGCCAGGATCCAGAAAGGCATATGTCTGCATGATCTTATTAGTCAGTTTGCTTCTGACTTTTACTGCAACAATAGAGAAGGTAGAATCATCTTCCACACCGGCCCCAATATGGCCACATGTCTGAAAAGTTACGGTTGAATCACTTGAAAGGCTCACAGGTGGTTTGGCTTGTCCTACAGATGTACCTTTATCCTGTCTTTCTATATGAAGGACCCCAGGGTGTTTCTGAAGACATACATGGCAATCCAATCGACTCCTACAGTCCTTGCTTGTATGGCCTACCTTCAGGCAACCAAAACATATACCCTTGTCCTTAATGAAGTTGATCTTCTCCCGGTGTGCCTTGGCTTTAAACTGTGAGCACTGACCCAGTGTGTGGTTTCTCTGCAGGCAGAAAAGACAGCAATAAGTGGAGGTTGTGCTATGTTCTGCAGGCCGTGCCATAGCTTCTTCCCTCACAGAAGTGACATTCGTAATGTAGCTGCTTTCCTTCCTTCTTTGTCGTAGCTGACTGCTACAGGAGGCCTTGACATTGACAGGCCTTGAAGGATGTTGAGGATCTTGAATGTTTCCAAACACTGGATCTGTAACAATTTTCACTTGTCTCTCAATAAAATTTACAAGATCAATGAATGTAGCCCTCTGTCCACTTCTTTCTTGCAGATCACATGCAATATTCCTCCATTTTTCTCTTAGTTTGTAAGGAAGTTTTAAAATGATACTCCGCATGTTAGCTGGTAAGTCCAGTTCCCTCATATACATTACTTGTTCTGTTAAGTTTGAACATCCTCGAAGAAACAGAGAGAATGATTGTAATCCTTTTACATCTTCACCTTTGATGGGTGTCCAGTTGAATATTTTCTCCATATAGGCAGATGCAATTCTATGT